TATCTATATACATGTATATGTATGTATGTATGTATGTGTGTGTATATATATATATATATATATATATATATATATATATATATATATATATATATATATATATACACACACACACACACATATACATACACAAGTATATGTACACACACACACACACACACACACACACACACACACACACACACACACACACACACACACACACACACACACACACACACACACACACACACACACACACATACATGTAAATATACATACATATATTTGACTCATATATCAAATTACATTCATAAAACTCTTCCTTGTTTTTTTTTAGAATACTGCTGATACAATGACCTATGTAAGTATAATGAATATATAACATGGTATAAAACAAATCAAGAGATAAATAGCATGATGAATACATAGACATTAATAAAATATTAAAGAAGCACACATATTTACAATATCAAAGAACTGGTCAAATAAAAGGAGAATTAAGATTTTGAGGAATAAAGAGGGAGAGAAAAGAAGAAAAAGAACACATGAAAAGGAACAGGCAGAGGAAGATAAAAGAAAATCAATAGGAATGGAGAAAAGTAGTGGGGGAAAAAAACTCCTCAAGGAAGATTATGTTGGTAAAAAAACTGTCTAAAGAAAAGGAGGAAGAAGAGGATTCTCTAGTCTCTTTGTGATGGACTTCTAAGTCTGGGATGGGGTAAATGAGAGAGCATGGGATCATCATAACAAGGCAGCAGTCTCTCTAGGATGTCCTTCCCCGAGTCCCAGGGACAAACATCAGCTGCCAGCTTCATCCCTTTCTCTGCCTCCATCTTGGGTATAAAGTTAAGAAGATTGTAGCCACACCGAGGGAACACAATGTCGCATTCTCTGAGGTAGAGACTGGGGCAGAAGTCATTGGTGCCATCGCCCACATATGCGATGGTGGAGAAGGTGATGTTTTCCTCTCCCCGCACCTTCACATAGTTGTTCAGGATGGAGCCCTTGCACAGATTCTTGGTGCTGAGCGTGCACCAGTCTTGGTGGTGATACATTTCTATGTGCAAGGAGCCATCTTTACTAAATTCTGCTGGGTTGGTGAATATCTCATGAAACAGGTCTCTCAATCCCACATTTTTGAGAATATGATCTATAAACACTGAGTTGGCATCAGAGATAATAATAAATTCTGTAGCATCTCTGGGAACACCTAGTAACAGCTCTCTCATGCTGTCAGTTAACTGGATTTCACTCAGGCAGTTGAGAAGTTTTTCTTTGGTAATACCATTCTGATGGAGATATTTGAATACCTCACCCATGTAATGTGTCCATCCATCTTTCCTATATAGGCTCTTTAGGTCATCAGGGATTTTGTGCCCTGGAGCCAACTTGTATATGTATGTATCACAATTGTTGTCTATTATAGTGTGGTCAAAGTCTAAGGCTAAAAGGACTTTCACCTTTGAATCTGACATCTGAAAGTATGAAAATAAAATTGGGATTAGTGAGTGGTATATCTTGTTGGTGATTTTGCAAAAGTTGAAGATCTGAATGCAATTATAAAAAATCAATATTCAACCATTTAGTATTACTAAGATCAAAATGTTAGGATAAAAGATCTTTTTCTTTACATGCAAGATTTAAAAAGAACATTTCAGCCACATGCTTATACTAAATTTGGCAAAGCAGTCAATATGACCGATGGCTGATTAGTATCCTTAGTACAAGTACAATCTATGATATCATTAAAATAATCTTAGTTACTATTCAAATATATTGCATCATTTTAGGTTTAGACAGCTATATAGTACAAGGTATAGCCCAACTGACTGATGAATTCTGAGACATATTCCAACTAAGGCAATACCATTGGAAAGTTCAAATCTAGTAGATATATCATTATTATATCTATGAAAGTTGACAGCATTATTTTAATATTTTCCCTAACACCCAAAAAATATGAAAATTAGATTGATGGATATATATTCAAACTAATGTAAATTTGACTGGAAAAATAGCCAATTCTTTGCAAGACACAATACCTGGAAGGGCAATTTCTATACTAACAACAACCAATTACACCAAGCCATAGTTCAAAGGGCCAGTCAAAAATAAGGCTGGTCTCACATTACCTATTGCATCAAAGATGTTCATACCCAACGATCTGAAAGCCTCAGTGCACTCAGGATCATGGCAGAGAGAGGTACCAATGCAGGAGACTGTACTGGCTGTGATATGGCATAGCTATCAACAATGTAACAGGCAGAGTTTTGATCAAATAAGTAACTAGTCCAACCTCTAGCTAATCTACAAAAATATGTGAAAACTTGTTGGACTTTGCCATAAAACCAAAGGTGTAACAGGCAGAGTTTTGATCAAATAAGAAACTAGTCCAACCTCTAGCTAATCTACAAAAATATGTGAAAACTTGTTGGACTTTGCCATAAAACCAAAGGTGTGGCAGACACAGTTATTGCTAAACAGTTGGTGTGCCAAGCAGGGGAGTAAGTTTACCAAAGGCTTTATATCTTTTTATTCTAGACATCTGGCAGAACTCACGTATGTTATATGATATGTGATCCTCCTCCCAAAAAAGATTTCCAATGGGTCCTTCCGAACATATGGATAGGGTAAGGCTGATAATATAGTAGACAAGAATATCAGAACTGTTGTAATCACACTGAAATACTTGTGAGAACAAGTAGCTATCTGTCATTCAAGAGCTGTCTAGAAACCGAAATTTCACCTGATACGCAAGTTAAAGTGAGGTTATGGGGTATATAATCAGCCTATGAGTTGACATGCCTCATACCAGCTCTGTGGCAATTAGTTATATGTTATATATATGACACAGCCAGATAACAACAACCAAAATCATATTCATACGGCAGCCCTTTATCTACTCTGCTTCTCACAAAAACACAGACACAAAATAAACAAAAATCTGAACCATAATTTATACACCATTGATTTTCTAACCCTATTTGTCATAACTACTCCAAAACTTAGATAATACATTCATATATAGATGTGCTATGAATCCAACATAAGAGATTTTCCTTTTTTGTACTGAATTTAAATATGAGAACAGTATTTCTCTCAAGTTACCCCAATCTCACTGACACAATATCAATTTTGAAAATATCTTTTTCTAACTGGACCAAACTATTCTCAGAGTTGTAAAGAAAGCAAACTGTAAAGATATGCACAAGAATTAAGCATATAAACAAAGTTCCTTACAATCTCCCTTATTTATACTTATCATCCAAACAATCCTGAAAACCCTGGGAAAAGTGACATCAGGTGAGGTCAACTAATTGACTCCTTGGTGGCTGAGCACTTGTGGAGCCCTCTAAGTGAAGAAACATTTGTTAACTTTTTAGTTTCAAACAACTATCTAACCTTACAATAACTGTTCCTTGTTTCAAATATTTACACTGTCCCTTATAATCTATCTTATCTATACTTATCATCCAACAAATCAGTGACATGTACCAACATCTGTTGCTACTATTATATTGGAAAAAATCATCTATGCACTTAGTTAGTAAGGAGCTTTTCCTTATACTCAAATAGCTATATTTGGTCATTTATAGTTTCACATAACCAACAATTTTCTGATTTGCCCAATGTCTTTCTCATAATACATGTAGTGCTTTGATTGATCTGGTGCCTCCTTTCGGTTGCAAATGTCTTGTTTTCAAGCTATGCCTACTCCCCTCTTTCCCAACAATTTTTGGGGACCTGTGGGATTTCTAAAAATTGTGGGGGAACATGAAATTGAGTAATATGCATTTCAAATGAGGTAAAAAATCAATGTACAGGCCCACCTTACATTTTTGGTGGCAGCAGCTGGAATGACGGCCATACAGTTAGCAGTGTTGCCAACAATCCATTAGATTTAGAGAAAATAGTGGACTTAATGATAGGACTATTACTTTCATTTCCTAAAGGTAAGGTAAGGTAATGTGTGGTGCAGTGAGGTAAGGATAAGGTAAAAGTAGCAGATTGCTGGCAACACTGCTAATCTCCCCATTCCTGGTGTCACTGCTACTGCCTACAGAAGTATAATGTGCGGATTCTCATTGAATATGTGACGTTATTTCGCTGATTTCTGACATCATTTGAAATGCATATTACTTGCTTTCATGCTCCCCTACTCAGTTATTCAATTTCCCACAGATCAATAGGGATGAGAGGGTAAGTATAACTTGAGAACTAGGTACTTGTGAGGGGAAATTGGTACAAGATCAATCAAAGCACTACATGCAAACCAAACATAAGACATAAAAAAATAATTGATTGGTCAAACAGTAAATTGATCACTATGTTAACCTGATGGCACTCGGGACAGCATGTACTTTGGGCATGGCATGTAAGTACAAACCATGCCCAAACTGTTTAGCTCATTAGTTGTCTATACAAATACATAGTCACTAATGAGCAAATTACTAGTAATACCTATCTTACCTGTTTACCCTATTCCTTGATTTTCAGAAATATTTCTCTATCTTATATTATACCTTGTACCATATGGCTGTGTGAGACTGAAATGGCTGTGTGAGACTGAAATGGCTGTGTGAGACTGAAACTAAACCAGATATTTCACAAAACAATACTACAGTGAACACGACATCTTCCCAGCGACATAAGGTTATAAGTAACACACAAAGCTTTCCAGACAAAATGGCATAAGCGAAAAGATGAGACCGTATCAATCTCATCTATTTTTTGTTTATTTACCAAAGCAGACGTAAATAAAAAGCAACACTGAGAAATGATGGCGACCACGAAAGGAAAACCGAAATGAAGACAAACAAAAAATACCTGGATAGCTCTTTGAGTGATATTTAGTACGGATTTCACGGAAACAATGCGATAAACTTTCCATAAACCAGGGAAAGAAGCTCTGAATTTACCACAAAAACCGATCATTACATAATACAATGTCTCTGCTTTTTCCTCTCTTTTTTTCTAAAGTTATTTTCAGGCTTCTTGATAGGTTTTAATTCCCTGATTTGACGTACCGTGATGCACTTTTTTCGGCCTTTTTCCCCGAACTTTGTTGACATTCGGCAGACGAATTCAGAGACCGCGGGACTAATTTTGATAATAGGGTTGCTGGGTCAATGCTATTGTGAATGCAAAATAAGGATGCACAATTGGTTATGCAATATCATACAACAGCTCCTTTATTAATATGAAATGGGAGGAAATGAAAGTTGTTGTTTTTTCTGTATTTTTTTTTCTGACTTAAATGTTGCCTCCTTGTCTAGACATTGTCGTACTCTTCCCCTTGAACAACTTAGAATATGAAATGATTATGCAAATTGCTTGGCTTTTACCTGGTGAAATACAAACCTATTATTTGGAATAATGATATGAGAAATGGGGAAAATCAGCCTAGAATTGTTTTATAATACCAATTATGTACTAGAAAAGTTTCTACAAGCCGGCAAATTTACAGCAAAACAGACATTGTGACAAAACCAGATCTTTTCACTCTAAAGTTTACATAATAAACATTTCCGTATTAACTATAAACGATGATCAATCTTACTGAAGCCATTCTTTCCTCACCTTGTAAAAGATTTCCTTGTACCCCGGCTGTAGGCAGGAAAAGTTGAATAGATCAGTACACCGACGTTCCTATTGTAACAGATCAAAACGGGACCCACGTAGCTATCCACAGAGGTGGTGCGAACTCCAAGACGTTTACATAAAGCCTTCTTTCAACCCACGTTTGGTTACTTTACTTAGAATTAACATGGTATATGTTGCCAAATCGTATCAATAATTCATGTGTGAATTTTAAAACAAATGAATTACAGTAAATTTTACAATAATATCGCTGCGTAATCCAAGATATCAATTCTGAACAAATATAGCAGACACACACACACGCACACACACACACACACACACACACACATACACACACACACACACACACACACACACACACACACACACACACACACACACACACACACACATATATATATATATATATATATATATATATATATATATATATATATATATATATGCATGTTACAGCTTCGGTAGGAGTGTTTATGAAATGTACTAGAATTGATTAATATATATAAATATAGTATATATATATATATATATATATATATATATATATATATATATATATATATATATATGTGTGTGTGTGTGTGTGTGTGTGTGTGTGTGTGTGTGTGTGTGTGTGTGTGTGTGTATAGGCAGTAACCTCCATTTAGAGATGAGTTTCTTTTGGCTGCCAGAGAAAAATGTGAATTTTGAATATAGAACATCAGATATCACCTCTCTTGCGCTTCCATATTGTTATTTTGTCTTGTGAGTATTAACTTTCCAGAGGCTGGAAAGAGCGAGTTCTTTTCATGGTAAGAACATTTGTTAGTCATATCCGTTTTCAATCATTCGATAAAATATCCGTCTATAAAAACTTTTTTTTGAATATAATCTGTTCATTTGTCTAAACATCTGGATTGTATTTATTCATAAGAAAATCTGCATTGCTTATTCATTACCATAATTTATTAGTAATAACTGTATAAAAGCACATAAATTCTTTCTACTTGTGATCTTAACTTACGACGGAAAGCTTAACAGGAATTGATTTAAAATATACTAATTAACTCTCATTTTTTCTGAGTTTCGTATGTTTTGTACTGGCGCATCACAGACGATGGGTGGAGTCATGACTGACTTACGCTTGGTCAGAACTGGTAGCAAAATCTAAACAACTCGCCGAACTGTCAAGCTTTTTCGTTTTGTTGTTGTTGTTGTCCATGGACTAGGGAAAAAATATGATAGGAGGCGCATTTTCAACTGATTTCGATATTTTTTCGTCGTTATATTTGTAATTTTAAGATGATAACTAAGAACTTGTATTTACTATTATATCCTAATGTAATATGAGTAAAACAATGATTGATAATTCAATATAATTAAAAAATAAAATCAAATTCACCAACGTACGCACGATTCTTAGAAACTGAGGTGGAGTCGAACAGCGAAGAATCATTGGCATCGTTGCTTTCGTAAGATAGTTTTTTGTTAGCGGAAATAAAGGCTATGATAAGACTATAATAAAACAATTTTGAATGAACGTATTCATACTGTAACGAATGTGTCGAAGTAATGTTTTATGGCTTTTATTTCTTTCAAAGATACATGTAATAAGTTGAATTGTTCTCTTAGGTGCTTCACAATGTCGCTTCTCTTACCACGTTAGTTATTTCTGTTTTGCGTTAATAATTGTTTTAGGATTTACAAAGGGAGTGCTTATTATTTCATGAAAAATAAGGATATTCTGTGTTATTTGGTGAATCATATTTTCTTCCATGCTTTAACTACAAGCGATCTTGCTGAGTGTATATTCAGTTTTATTTAATTTTCATCTTTATATAATTTTCTATCATGTTAATTCTAGCTTAATCATTCGGAAACGAGGTCCTGTATGGTCCATGTGTTTCGCATCTGTACCTCATAAGAACTGCAGTCAAAAAGAGTTATAAATCTAAACTTGGTTTTTGGATGTGCTAATGCTAGACAAATAGCTAGAATCATTTTGTATTTATCATTTGTCACGTCAAATATATCATCATGTATTTGATCCACAGATGTTGGAAGAGGTGTGAATATATTATCAATAAAGGTTATAAACTTTCTATCTCTGTATTTATATTCATCAAATTTATTCCTAGGACTTTTAGCAGGAAATTTACCTCTACAAGATAAATGATACTTTTACCTTTTCGTTTTTTATAAAAAAGAAAAAAATGTTTGTTAGTTTTTTATTCTGCCCATTAATTGGGTAACGAACTTGTAATTGTCGTTATGTCAATATCTTTACCATTTATTTTACTATTTACAGTACCGTCCTTCCTTTCCATGGAGAAATTTTGTCCTGACTTATTAACAGCCAGTACCCATTAATAACTCCAATGGCCATCGCAACGCTGTGTCCGTAAATCGAAAGTTGTCACATATTTGCATAAATTCAAAATAATCCGTGCATTTATTTTGTATCTGGCAACCAATTTCTTTAAAAACATTTTTCATTAATTTTATATCATCACCGTTGAATAATTATAATTTATAGAAATCCAAATCCTGGTCATGATTTTCTCCTTTATCTTTAATTTGGTAACATTAGAAATTGAACATTACACCTAGGACCACCTTCTCGCGGACACATTTATGATGAATCAAAGATATGGATGAGAGAATATATGCATTATGTTATAGAAAAAAATCACAATCATCATATTAATTTGTTTGAAGTGCCAGTTTGTGGTAATAAGATTCAGTTAAGTATGGTAAAAAAACACTTTTGGCTTATATGCGAATGGTATTAAGACTGATTAATATAACTGATTTCATTGTTAGTGATAGTATCTATAACAGTGAGTATTTAAAATTCCATGAACCCATAAAGGTATGCATTTAAACGAGTCGTTAGTGAATAACATCCAAAGACGCACTTTATTTACCAATAATGTTGTATACAAAACTCTTCATTATGTTTTCACATTTAAAAAGCTCTTCAGGAAACACATCGCTATTTGGAAGATTTGTTTGATTATATGTAAGAAATATATATTAATATTCTATAACATGACTGATGAGGTATGAGATTACAACGTATATATAAATAGATACTCTGATATTAGAGAAAAATAAGCTTATAATCTGTTAAATCATAAGTACTTCTGTTAGATAAACCACGACAGAAAGATATTTCCAAACAAACTAAATCAAACGCACTTTGAATGAATTAAGACAAATCCAAATTAAAGAAAGAAGAAAAAAACAAAACAAAAACAAATGTCAAGAGTGGAGTATCCTCTCCCAACTGAAGGTCAAATGTCAGGAAACACTCGCCGGGCATACTCTGTAACAATTTTCAAGAAGCATGAAATCACAATACAAATATAAATAGATATTCTGTGAAATCATCCTGGATTTTAGAGAAAATTAAGCTTACACACTTACCAATGCTAAAGCAGAAATTGCAGTAGCATGGTGAGAGAAGCCATATTGTGACACACAAAAAAGACCCAAGTAAAAATGTTTCCTACCGCCGGGCAGATCCGACAAGTTTTGTATGTGTGTGTGTAAATGTCTAAGACTGAATGTAGTAAATGTATATTTATATTAATACGTACAACAAATTTCAAGAAGCATGAAATCACAATACAAATATAAATAGATATTCGATGAAATTATCCCGGATTTGAGAGAAAAATAAACTTACACACACACGCACACACACCAAAGGAGGATAGATTATAGTAATATATTTTAGTAGTATACGCATATTAGTTCAAAACTGTGCTTTTGCCATACAAACTAAATAGACTAACATATGACTGTATCTTATTACCACAGAGCGGCACTTCGAGCATGTTGATACGTTCCTTGTGTTCTTGATTTATCTCATTATTTTTTACCATGGCATAATGCATACATTCTCTCATCCATATTTTTCATTCGTCATAAATGTTACCACGAGAATGTTATTCCAGGTGTAATGTTACATTCAATAAATTCTTTCACAGTTTGATACTTAAAGATATTACTATCCATTGGAGCTACAATTGTTAAGCTTCATATAGTAAAGAACTGTAATATGTCCTGCATAGTCCAATTCACCTACAAAATTACTAATATGTGTTTGCATTATATCTTCATTCTTATTCACAAATAAACTGTCCAGATTGTTCATATACATTTTTGGAATATCGTTCAACTTTTTCATAAAGGTCTCATAATCTAGTCAGGACAGCTTTCTTTATGTTTACAAGTTTCAAGGGTTCTTTCATAATTTCCAATCAACATTACGGTGTTATTATATTTTCTCTAATTTGGGAAATCTGCATGAAAATCAGTACTGCTCTTTTAATTTTTCCGTAAATTCTTTTCATCAACATTATTAATACCAGCATTATTATCATTGTTAGTTATAGTTTCGTCTATATCATCATCATCATTACTAATT